ATAGATAGAGAGTGATAGATATCTGAGTATGTTCTAATTTATACACAAACTGACACAGTTTACCCTGTAGGACATCCATAGAGTGAAACTTACATCCACTCGCCAGCATACAGTGTATATCTATATATATATATATATATATATATATATATATATATATATATATATATATATATATATATATATATATATATATATATATATATATATATATATATATATATATATATATATATATATATATATATATATATATATATATATATATTATTTTTTAAATTTTGCTCAATAATCTAATTTTAGTAACCTTTGATTTTATATGACCCAATAGGATTAAATTGTTATTTTATTTATTTTACCAAAGAGAGATAAGATTTTAAATTTTATAATATTGCATTGACTTTTTAATTGATTTTCTTTTTTCAATTATTCAATCACAAAAAGTCAAGATAAATTAAGGATCTTATTATGTTTTAAAATTTGAAATAGTTGATGTTCGAGGGCTAAGTGCTACAAATAATACTTGAATGAGGTAAGTTACAAAATATAATTGAAGAGGATAAATATTACATAAATTAGACTTCAAGGGTGCAAAGTGTATTTAAACATGTAATTAATGATTTTTAATGTGTTCTTGAAACTTGATTTTTTTAGGCAATTAATAAATGGGAAAGTGAAGTGGCTATTGGAAATGACATGATAGATTACTTTAACGAACAATTTGACAGACGATGGAATTGCATCATCGACAAACCTGGTAATTTAATTAGTTTTTTAATATATTTGGTAAAAAAAAAAAATTGATACAATATATTTGTTAATTTCATTTTATTGATTTTCATTTTGTTTTTGTTTTTCTAATATTAGGGGGTACTCGTGAACCATGGATGGAAGACGATTACATCGTCTTCACAACTAAAAACACTCATTTATCTCTCTATCGGACTCAAGCGGTTCGATCTCCAGGTCGCGGCCGAAGCCCCAAGTCCGTTGAATCTGTCTGTTCAAACACGAAGAAATCGACGCAATACTCGTGTCCTACTTGAGTAAAACCTTGACCGTACATTCGTGCTACCCTATGAGAGTGATGATGATTGTTGACGAATTTAACTACATGCATGAGGTAGCATCATTGGTATTTAATTTTTTTAGACGGTTTTTAGAAATAAAGAAAAAGTAGGTTTTGTTTTGGGCTTTTTTTTTTTTTTTTTTTTTTTATTTGATTTTTTTTCTTGAATGGTTATTTCTTAATTTCTTACAAACTATGCGCAAACACTCGATAATGATATCAATGATCTAGTTATCAGCTTAACTATCTTGTTCAATCACTCGCACAATGGTAACGCTGATTGGAGATTTACTGCCAGTAGTGCATTCCTCGCCGTCGACCCTCCGGATTGGAATGGCGGCGAGTTGCTCGTGTGTTCGGTTGGAAACCGGATAATTTGCATGTTTCGCGCCTCAAATGGAGGTGAAGGTGGTACAGTAGTAATAAAAATCATGAGTGCTTCTTTGGCTTCGTATAGTACACATATTTTATTCATGAATAATTTACTTATACGCACAAAATTGTTTAGTACTAATATTATTTCAAAATAAGGTTCTCTAAGGCATTGTAGAAGCAAAGAACCATTATTCCGAGCTCAATGTTTCGTGGTAGAACTGAAAACATGAAAAGAAAGCACAATCTTGGTTCACACTGAAGATATGAGATTGGTCACATCACAACTAAATAAGTACAAAAACTAGGAGCATGTCATTTTTATCAAACTGAAGAGATAAACTAGTAACATAGACAATGAATAATAAGTATAAAATAAATAAGAAAATATATGATTGTTGCATCAAACATACCTAACAATATTTAAGTTAATATCATATATTGAGAATTCACAACATAAAATACTCTGTCAAGCTAAGTCCAACAGTTCTACTTCTAAAAAAAATTGTCTATCACGCATGGTTCACACATTATACAAGTCCAAAAGTTACACTAAAATAAATAAATTAAAGTACTAACAAGAAATTATTATTTTATCCTCATAATACTTGATGATCCTCATAGCACTCAATCATCATCTTCATCCTCCTGCGTCAAATTTTAGCAAAAAATATTGTTAACGAGAATACTAAACTCTCCATAATCGATTGCATAATTAAATATTCGGTAAACACAACTTACGTCACTAGTTTGGTCGTTCTCTTCCTTCCATTGTTCAAATTTGATCATGATTCATTAGCATACTCAGTATAACAATCTTCATCCTCTTACATCCAAGTTTTAAAAAAATAAAATAAAAATATCAACGGTCATTTTAAATTCTCGATAGTCAATAACATAATTAAAGAATCGTTAAACACAACCGACCTCACTAGCTTTGGTTGTTTCTCTCTATAACTAACCTCGGACTCTGATTTATTAGCTGACTCATAACAATCATATTCATCCTCCTACATCATAGTTAAAAAGAAAAAGAAAATTGTCAACGGACATTTTCAATCTCTCCATAATCAATAACATAATCAAATACTCGGAAAACACAACCACTACAACAAAAATCTGTTTTCCAGACACAAAAAAACGCCTTAATATATGGTATTTTGGGACACTTAGACTTATTGGGGCAAATAAACTATATGTCACGTAGTTGTGCATTGCAATAGGTCACGAGGCACTTATTATCCGTCTCATTATAAATTCCTTTTTAAGGCAATTAAATGTGTCCCAATAAAGGGTTATTAAGGCACTAATATATACCCCATATTAATTTCGATTTTTTCTGGAAATCTTTTCACGACACTTACATGTGTCCATAAAATCTATTATTAAGATGCTTACACACGTCCCAATATATAATTATAAGGGCATTAACAATTGTCCTATTAAACTCTTATTGAGACATAAATTTTACGGATTGAAAAACTTTTATCGGCACTTAGAAATGTCCTAATACAAATTTTACGACACAAAAGATTTTATTGAATGGACATAAATAAATGTCCTAAAATTTTTCCGGAAAATAATAAATATAATAATAATTAAAAAAATTTCCCTACAAATATATATACCAATTATGCATTGAAACTACTTTAAAAAAAATAACATACACCAAATCAAACATAACATCCTCAATTATCAATTGGAAAAAAATATCAACTGGATTTGGTTCAAAATATCAATCAATCCTCAAAACAAGTCAACAATATCATAGCATCACGAAGTTCAATACTTGTACAAGTTCACTAACAAAAAAAGGCCGACTTTAACTAATCATTCTAAAATCTATGACTACATACTTGAAAAATCTAATTTAGCTCCATCATACCCAACGGTGCATCAAAAATGAAATTCATCATCCAAAGTAACCTGCGCGTATAAGAATACATATTTAATTAATAACATAAAACAAGTTATCAAATTTGTATTATGCTATAGCTCATAAAAAAAATTAATCATACTATGCATGTCAATAAAAAACGAGCTACACTAAGAATGTGCGTCATTAAGACTCAAACTTACCAATGACAATGGCCAAGCTATAGGTACTCCAAGAGCATTTCCAATTGTCTGAATATGCTTGTATGGAAAAATCAATCTTGCATCTTTTTTTACCATGTGCTGAACGACAACCAGACAAAAATCAGTGCCCAAATTTGTCCCATTTACACTCACATTATCCATCTCGTCCACTACACCAGTTGCAACAATTTCATCAATACTCCCAAGACTTTTCAAGACAACATACGAGCCAACCTGTGCATGACACTTTTATTACCACCAGTATGTCAAGTATAATCTAATTACTGTAACTTTCATGCTCTTATTTTATTACCTTGATTTGCATTGCACGTGAAGTAGTTGATCCTAGTGAACGCTGATTATTTTGAAATGTTGGACTTTGAGCATCAACTTGTTCACCTGTAAATACTAGTGGGTGATATGCAGAACCATCTTGTCCATTGGAACTTGTGAGCGGCGCATTTTCAAGACCAACTTGATTTGGAGATGTAAGTGGCGTACTTTGACCATCAGTCTGCCTCGTCGATTGTGTTCCATGAACATGTGCTGAGAGATTATCTATTTTTGCGTTCAAGGTCTCGTATTTTTCCACCGCTTCCATAAATTTTGTTTTGTATTCCATAGCTTGTCTAAGAAGTGCCGCACGACTAGGTTTTTCTCCATAAACATCAATTGGTGTCACTCCCAAACCGTACATGCGCAACTGCCCATTCTTATCTTTGCCCATAACTTTTGCAAAAGAATCATCAGGATTATACGTACCTTGGTTGTCATTTGAATTTTGAGAATCTTGTGAAACTAATTCTTTCATTTTAACCTGAAATAAATTTAATTGTGTTACAAAAATATCTGTACATCAAACATGTACAATATAAATGAAAATACTTGAAGAGTGCAACTCTTAGATGAACTATCTCGATTATAAAAGTTACAAAAATATCTGCACTTACGATAGCTTCTTTTATCTTGTCACTCTTAGAAGAACCATCTCTATAATAACATTCCTCAAACAACTCAGCTCTTGTGGGATGTCTTCCATATCGTTCTCTCTACATAAATAATTTTATTGATTACATTACAGTAAAGATATTATTTACAACAAAGAACATACATATTAATTAAACTTAGAAAATAATACCAATTTTTCTTTCACAACTGCAAAACTCTTCTTGCCCATGTGGTGAAGCAAATCTAATTGACCACGAGTATCTTTGTTCTTCTCACTTTGTTTCTAAACCATGTCCAATATTTTATTAGTATTAAACCGAAAGCAAAAACAATGAAGGAATACAAATTATAATATAAAAATAATTCACGTACAAGAAACAATTACTTATGCAGTTACCAATAAACACTACTTATATGCGACTTCATAAATACATACTAATTAAAAGTAAGTAAAAGGTTTCTATGTATATTAGTGGTATGCAATTCATACCTTTGACTTTTCAGACATCCAGTATTGAACTAAAGACTTAAACTGATCTTCATTTACTCGCTCGGGAATTTCAATCTTTTGCTGCTCTATAGGAATGTCAGGATCAATACTCAAATTCTTCACAAAACTTTTCCAGTTCCTCCATTTTTTGTTTATGGATTTTAAAATATAAGTTTCATGCCCAGGAGGCAATTGAAATCTTGCCTACAAAAATACATAAAATAATTAAGAAGATATACAGTGATACTATTTGAAAATTATAATTTATTACCTTTACAATCCTTAACATTTCTTGTTTATACGAGTATGGCATTAATCTCCAGTCTTCATAGTTAAGTGGGCAATACCTTCCATTCCTCGCAATCGTACCCAGAAAATGTGACAACGTGCTTGTCTTATCTTGATCATTTGGTTGCCCAAGGTCATTAAATGAAACAACCACAAGTTCATTTGGTTGTTGCCCCCAAACCTTAGGCATACAAGTAGCCCCTCTTACCTTCTTCTTCTTATTGACGACTACAATAATTAATATTATAGGATCACTAAGTATAAAAAAAATAAAAAAATATGAAATTGTTGTCGGTAAAATTTTTCTTACCAATCTCATTTGTATTATCATCTTCATTAATCCGCACAATTTCATCTTCCAACAGGTCATCAGTTACATCACAAGTAGTTCTATTACAACTTGTGTTATGCTGCAAAATATTTTCTTGAATCTGAATTGAACTCGTGCCACAGTGATCTACAATTTAATGAGGAATTTAATGCATAAATGATATGATCCACCAGTAAACCATAAAATAAAAAAATAAAAAAATGCAATTGACCAAGACAAGTTCAGAGCCATACTGTTGTGTCGGGAGTTTAAATTAGAATGCAAATTAGGTTGCTCAATCGTTTCATTACGCTGCAAAAGAGCTACTTCAGTTCGAACTGATTTAGCGTGAATTGAACTCAAACCACGCTGACCTGCAAACACATACATTATATAACTGACTAGACAAAGTTATAATAAAAAATAAAAAATGGAGACCCGTCAATTTGAGCCATACACTTGTCTCGAGAGCTTAAGTTCGAAAGTTGTTGAGGCTGCTCAAACTCTTCACAACATACACGCTTGCTACGAGGCCTAGTGTTTGGAGCCATTATCTGCACAAGCAATTAATATAAACGTTAATGTAAAAAAATATTTTATGATTTATTAAATAAAGAAAATGTTATCTAGCAAGACAACTTACCTTAACCTGTTAATAAAATTGTGAAACTAATTGATTTTGAGCAATAACAAAATATAATAGACTAAAATACAATAAATACACAAATAAAGCACATTAAAAATTTAAATGCAAAACGTATATCAAAACTAAATTATAATTCTTGCTCATATGCAGAAAAATAGATAAATTCTTAAACCACAATTCCTTCTACATCTTCCCTGATCCAAATGTGTTCATTTCCATCATGTGATTGTGCATTGTCAATGGCGTCATTATTCACATGAAGTGCATCTTCATCTAAATTGAAGACCGAATCCATATCAAATGAATCCCTAGGTTTTGTCTTTACAACAACACGCCACCCCTTCTCAACCGGATCTTCTATATAAAAAACTTGTTGTGCTTGGCTTGCTAATATATATGGCTCACTATGTTGCCCTGCTCGAGAAAAATTAACTGATGTAAAACCATACTCATCTTGCTTTTGAGCGCTCCGTGTTGAAACCCAATCACAGTAAAACACTACAACTTTTCTTGAGTCAGAATAATCAAGTTCAATTATATCTTTTAGAACCCCGTAATAAGTCACATCTCCAATAATCGGATTATTGTCGCTTCTGCTAGCAAAACTACTAGTTTTAGCAGTAACAACCACCCCACTATTTTGTGTTTTTCTCCTGATTTCGAGACTTTTCACATGGAACCGAAACCCATTAACAATAAATCCTCGATATCTTTTTCCACTTGGATTGGGACCTCGAGACAAGGCCCTAAGTTCTGTTGAAACTTCGTTTCCGGCAAGATATAATCGTTCAACCTGTTTGATATAATTTAATATTTAAATTAGTAAACAACTAATTTGAAAATAAATTAAATATAACATGCATAAAAAATGCCAAATAAATTAACTTACATGATTGTAGAACCAATTAGCAAAAGTTTCACTGTGAATCCTTTCAATATCCTTTTTCCGAGTTCGAGGATTTGAACTTTTTACTATACCTTTATGTTCTCTGTACAAAAATATGAGCAATATGAATACATAATAAAATAGAAAAATGGTATAAAAAAAACTTATGTGAAAAAAACTTACTCAATGTATGACTCAATTTCATTGCAATTGAACAGGATGTATTGATGTGCCTTGGTAATTATTTCCTCACCAAGAACTACACAATTTCTTGCGCCAATACAACGTCCAGGATTAGAGAAAATAGAAAACTCTACTGTGCTCTCACCACAAATATCATCATTCCTTTTTATCTTATTAAATTTAGTCTCCACATCCTCTAGGTATCTCGAACAAAAGGTTAAACATTCTTCCATCAAATATGCTTCAGCAATTGACCCCTCGGGACGACTTCGATTGCGCACGTAAGATTTCAATGTTGATAAATACCTGATACTTGAACAAATGAGTTTACTCACATTTTATTTTTATAAAGTTAAGAAAATTAAAAGAAAATATAAATTAAATTACCTTTCAATAGGATACATCCAACGATATTGCACTGGTCCGCCAAGTCGAGCCTCGTATGCCAAATGAATGGTTAAATGAATCATCACATCAAAAAAAGATGGAGGGAATATTTTCTCCAATTCACAAAGAGTCTTAGAAATTTCTTCCTCCAAACGAACTAAATCTCGAGGAATAAGAACTTTAGAGCAAAGTTCTCTGAAAAAGGTGCACAAATTAATCACATGTGTTCGTACATGCTTTGGTAATACTTTACGCAAACCAATTGGAAGCAATTGTTGTATCAAGATGTGGTTATCATGACTTTTTAGACCCGAAAGTTTTTGTGGCTTCATTTGCACACACCTTGAAATATTAGAAGCATATCCATCTGGAACTTTTACATTCTGTAAGATGTCAAAAAAAATATCTTTTTCTTTTTTGCTCATTGAAAAACATGCAGCAGGCAAGTATTTTCTTCCGGAATCAAGAATAGTAGGGTGAAGTGCATGTCTTATACCCATATCTTCTAAATCAAGACGAGAGTTTTCATGATCTTTTGTCTTTCCTTCCAAATTCAATAAAGTCCCGATGACACTATCACAAACATTTTTTTCAATGTGCATTACATCCAAGTTGTGACGCAATGTGATATCTTTCCAATATGGCAACTCAAAGAATATGCTTTTTTTTTTCCAGTTATAAGGAAGGGCTGGATTATTGGAAACTTTTTTGCCAAATTTCACATTTAACTCGCCTAAGTCCTCCAGTATCTTATCTCCGGTTAAAGGAATAGGTGGCTGACCATATTCTTCTGTGCCATCAAAAGAGTTGGCATCTTTCCTGTAAGGGTGATTATCATCAAGAAATCTACGATGACCCATGTAACACTGTTTTCGGCTTTTGTATAAGTATTTAGACCATGTATCTTTATGGCACAATGGGCAAGCTAGTTCACCTTTTGTACTCCAACCAGATAAGTTTGCATATGCAGGAAAATCATTAATAGTCCACAGCAAAGCTACACGCATATTAAAGTTTTGCTTGCTTGAAGCATCATATGTTTCAACCCCGTCCTCCCATAATACCTTTAATTCTTCTACTAAAGGCTGTAAATACACATCAATGTTGTTTCCAGGCGGTGACGGACCAGGTATGAGTAAAGTTAAAAAGAAAAATGGCTCTTTCATACACATCCATGGAGGTATATTATATGGGGTGACGATGACTGGCCATGTACTGTGAGTAACGCTTAAAGTTCTAAATGGACTAAATCCATCCGCAGCTAAACCAAGTCTTACATTTCTTGGATCTTTTGCAAATTCACGATATTGACGATCAAAAGAATGCCAAACAGGAGAATCGCTAGGGTGTCTCATGCTTCCATCCTTAGTGCCTTCTTCCTTGTGCCATCGCATGAATGTTGATGTCTTAGATGACATGAAAATTCTTTGAAGTCTAGGTTTAAGAGGAAAATACCTCAATACCTTAGCCGGAATTTTTTTATGCTTAACAGAAGAAACGTCATCTGCAACTTCATTAATTTCACCTTGTTTATATCTTGATATATTGCAGATATGACAGGATGTGCTTTTCTCATGCTCTTTCCAATACAAGATACAATCATTCGGACAAGCATCAATTTTGGTAGACGTGAGTCCCAATGCCCCAATGATCTTTTGTACTTCATAGTAAGACTTAGGCAATGACTCGGTCATAGTAGGAAAAGCCTCTTTTAACAACTCGAGAAGCATTGTAAATGTTTTATTAGACCATTTACCCATGCATTTCAAGTGAAATAGTCGTATTATAAATGCCAATTTCGAAAACTTCTTACATCCTGGGTATAATTCTTGTTGAGCATCATCTAATAACTTGTAAAACTTTTTAGCTGATTCATTAGGTTCTTCATCCATAGATGTATCTGAATCTTTGACCCCAAAAGCATCATTTATCAAACCATCCATATCATCTAACGTATTGATTGGATCTAGATTTTGAAAAGTAGTTTGACTAGATGATGTATCTTCTCCATGTATAACCCAATGTGTATAACCTTTCATAAACCCATCAACAATAAGATGTTCTTTTGTCGTTTCTCGATCTACCCATTTAGCATTCTTACAATATTTGCATGGACATATGATCTTTCCACCGAGAGATACATTAGAAAAGGCCATATCAAGGAATTGATTTAACCCATTTTTATATTCAATTGTTGATCTTGATTTATGCATCCAACTTTTATCCATTATAAGCCTACTAAAATAAATACTACACATCAATTACACATATCGAGTAGTAGGCAATTTCTAATTTAACATTCACTTATGAAATAAAAATCATACCTTCAAATAAATACTTGATGCACTGAAAGGTTCTTAAAGTTATTAGCAGTAATTTCCCTGATACAAACACAAATATATAAGCAAAAAGTTAGAATTTATAAACTGAGAAAATAAAATATGTAAATGCATATACAAGATTTTCGTTATCAAATATACAATACTACCCAAGTATTCTAATTTTCTTATTAGTTCTCTTGCTAATACGAACTAATAGTTCTTTTAATTTTACGTGATAATTGAGTTGTTTGATTATACAATAATTGTTTTTTTTATTTTCAAAATCGTACAGGAAATTCAATGATTTGCAATATAGATTTCAAAGAATCTGAAGCTACTGCATAAATGACCACACCTAATTAACTACAAACATGATTTCACACCATGTCTCCATTGTCGTCTTTCTCCAATCCCACCCCCAAAGTTAATTCAAAAAGTTTATATTTTACCCCCATATATCCACACCCACACACCCAAAGCACCGAATGTTTACCCATTATTTACAGTGAAGAGCACAATTATAAGATTCTCACAGCATAACCTACTTTCATAGGGTTAATTTTAATCAACCCAATAACTCAAGGCAACAACACAAAAATTCATAGACATTCAGTAAATGCAAGCCAAACAAATTCCCATCCCAAACAAAAAATCAGAAGAAAAAAAAAAGAAAAAAAAAAGCCGACAAGAGAAAATTCTTTTAACAACATAATTCAACAAAACTGACCGATATAAAGAATGAAATAAGAGAATCAGACTAAAAAAATTGAAGTGAATCAGTACCTTGGCGGCCAAGCAGGAAATCCCTTGACCCGTTATCAAACAACTCAATTGTCACCGTATAATTACAGGACTAGCTCTGTTAGTCGAACCCACACAACCTGCCCAATAATTTTGTAGAAATTATTGGAGTTTAGGTCGGACAATTTGGTAGAAAAGCGGGAAAACGAAAAAAACCCCGCGTAATTTTCAGAGTTAGGTCTGATAATTTAGACGAAATAGATGTGAAATTGGAAAAGATTTTGAAGAAGAGGAACGGAAGAGACGGAAGAGGTGGAGAGAAACAAAAGGAAAGAATAAAAAGTCCCCTAAAATCAAAATAACGGGGAATAAATATTCCCTTTTATTTTAATATATTTAATTAAAAATATCCTTTTATTTAAGTGTCCTAATAAATCTTATTAATGAGACACAATTTAACTAGAGTCCCAATACTCTCTTTTTGGGACATCTCAAAATTAGTATCTCAAATAAAATGTCGTAACATATATGTTTTGTTGTAGTGAACCTACCCCACTACATTTGTTTTCAGGTTCCTCTCATCACTACCCTTCGAGTTTGATTATATTCATTAGCAGACTCATTACCACCATATCCATCCTCCTACATCAAAGTTAAAAAAAAAAAAAAAATTGTCAACAAGCATTTTCAAACTCTCCATAACCCATAACATAATTAAATACTCGATAAACACAAATTGGTCTCATCACTATTATCTCCATCTTTACCGCTATCATTAAACTCCAACTTTAGTTCATCAGACTCAATATAACCACTATATACATCATCCTACATTAAAATTGACAAACAATATTGTCAACGGGAATATAAACTCTCCATAATCAATTGCATATTTAAATATTCGGTAAACATAAATGTTTTAAATGTTTTATCACAAGTAGTACTATACTTCAATTTTAACTGTTTTTTTTTTTGAAATAAATTTCAAAGATAAATAAAGAAAAAGTAGATTTTTCTTTGGCCTTTTATTTTTATTTTTTTAATTTTATTTGATTTTTATTTCTTGATTTCTTACAAACTATATGCAGGCACTTGATAATGATATCAATGATCTAGTTATCTGCTTAACTATCTTGTTCAATCACCCGCACCTTGGTAATGGTGATTGGAGATGTGTTGCTGGTAGTGCGTTCCTCGTCGCGACCTTCCGGATTTTAATGGCGGCGAGTTTCTCGTGTGTTTGGATGGAAACCGGATGGTTTGCTTGTAACGCGCCTCAAATGGAGGTAAATGTGGTGACGAAGAGCCTGACGATGAAGCAGATGATGATGACGATGTTAGTAAAAACAAAATATCTCCCAGTTCATTTTTAACATGAGTTATATAATTTTACAAATTCACTTTATTATTATTTTTTGGGGTAATTGGCATTTTTCGAGGTTTGACAGAAGAAGTGTTTTAAAAGTGTCTTAACAGAGAAAAAAATTATTTTAGTGCTCATTGGAGAGACGCCGGGATCGATATTTTGAACCAAAATTAGAAGTGGTTTCAATTTTTAATCGTTGTGATTTATATTTTCATTTAACAAAAAAATTATGTTCCGTAAGATTCTTAACGTTGAGTTTATGTAAAATAAAATAATGGGAGCAGTTTTTTTGCTGAAAAAAATCGCAGAAGACATAAGGGCGTGTTTTGTCGTTAAAGACATGATGACGAAAGACCATTTTATCCGTTGAATTAACTTGAAATCATTTTTTATATGAAAATCTTAAGCATAAATTGTTGAAGGGTGCATCTTGCCAAGCAGAAAAACTCAATTTAAGGTTTTTTGCAATTTTTGGGTATAAGGTTCCAAACACACCTAACCTAATTGAAGGGTGCAAAATGGTAATTACCTTTATTTTTTGAATTTCTACTACGTTTTAAAATTTATTTTCTATCTTAATAATAAAATATGTCTAGATACTAGAATAAAATGGAACACATATACATTAATTTTAGAATTGCATCTAACTAATTTCAACTGCATGCATTTTCTTTGTAATATAACTTATCAAATAATTTATTGTTAGAAGTTCTAATTGTTGTATTTATTTGATCAAATAATATGCCAACTTGCTTAAATGGTTATATTGCACAATTTATTTGATCTAATGAACTAAATTTGGAGACTAATCATGATGAAGATGTCAAGACTGACCATGTTAGTTAAGTTTTTGAATATATTATTCAACAATGAGACTACAATGATAAGTATGATATGTATTGATGAAATGTTCCAACTTGCTTGAATGGATATAATGCAAATTTTATAGGCTGAAGATGGCGACTATGAATTGGATGAACCAAAGTGGGTGTTTATTCAAGACGATGAACAGGAAGACAACCCTAGTGAGGTTAAATGTGTTTACCGAGTATTTAATTATGTAGTCAACTAACAAGACTTTGTATTTACGTTGACACTATTTTATTGTAAACTTTGATTAATGAGGATGAATCAAACTCGGAGTTTGATGAGGATGAGGAGGAAGAGGAAAACAAAACTAGCTAGGTGAGTTCTGTTTTCCGAGTATTTAATTATGCAAACGATTATGGAGAGTTTGTATTTCCGATGACAATATTTTTTGTAAACTTTAATGTAGGATGATGTATATGGTGATTATAATGTGTCCGATGAATTAAAGTCGGAGTCTAATGATAGCGATGAAGATGGAGATAATAGTAATGAGGTAAAATTGTGTTTACTAAGTATTTAATTATATCATAGATTATGGAGAGTTTGAAAATGCTCATTGACAATTTTTTTTCTTCTTTTATAACTTTGATTTGGAGGATGAATATGGTACTAATGAGTCTGCTAATGAATCAAAGTCGGGGGGTGGTGATAGAGAGGAACATGAAAACAAAACTAGTGAGATCAGTTGTGTAACCTTTGAAATTATTTCAAAAAAAAACATTTAAGAAAAATGAAATACCAATTATGCTACCTCAAAGATGTAGGTCAATGCGTCAACAATCATCATGACTCTCATAGTGTAGCACGAATATACAGACAATGTTTTACTCGGGTAGGACATGAGTATTGAGTTTCTTCATCTTGGAACATATATATATATTCAGCGGACTTGTAACTTCGACCGCGGCCTGGAGATCGAACCGCTTGAGTGCAGTAGAGAGAAAAATGATTGTTTTTTGTTGTGAAGACGATGTAATCGTCTTCCACCCATGGTTCGCGAGTGCCCTCAAATATTAGAAAAATAAAAAACAAATGAAAATCAATATAATGAAAATTACCAAATATATATATTATATGAATTCATTTTGGATTAAATACACTTTACGCCCCTGAAGTATAGCCTAGATCGAAATTGACCTTTTAGTATTATGTGTTCTACAAACACAACTATTAGTTACCTAGAGGTTTTAAAGTTGAGAAAATTCATTTCATGAAACTTTTATATAATGATCTCATGTTTAACAAATTATGGAATAATACTTTTATTGCATCGTTACTTAATGAAATAATTTGCTTGTTATTAATTTTTTATGTTTGAAAACACACACACACACACACACACACACACACACACACATATATATATATATATATATATATATATATATATAGTTAACAGTTTTAAAATAATAATATATTCTATAAAAAAATTAAATATAGCAGCCAAAATTCTTGGGGAAAAACTATTTTAAAATTTAAAGTCAAAAAAGTCAAAATTTCAATGGTTCTTAATTTTAAAATAACAAGTGAAAAAGGTGCACTGCTCTCTCATCAGATGCACAAAAACATTGAATTTAGGGCTCTACTCACACTTACCCCTCAATATCAATTATTTTATATTTTAAAATTTAAATAATAATAAACATAACAATCTAATAATTATTTGATCATATAAAATAGAAAAGTAATTAATATTAAATTGTTGGAATATAATTAAAAAGGAATATATATTGTATAATAATTAATGAAAATATATTTTAAGAAATTAATGAATTAAAATAAATTTAAATACTTAAGATTACTGTTACGTATTGATTTCTTATAATTTATCAATATGAATATATTCGAATTAATTAGTCCGACAACAAGTAGATGTTATTTACTAAATGTGTACCTAACACAAAATAATATTTTCAAAATTTTTAAATATTGCATTTTTCAATAGATATTTTAGTTGTATAATTTAATTATTATTTTAGTTATTTCTTTCACTAAAAGAGAAAATTTTAAGGTATTAGAATTTAAAATACAAATTAAATTGTGTTCGAGGGGGTAAGTGTTACAACTGATACTTTAAGGGGTAAGTATTATAGATGATATACTTTTGGGGTGTATATTGTATTTAACCCTTTGTTTTTTTTAACAAATATATTAAAAAAATAATAAATTACTAGGTTTGTCAACTATGCAATTCCATCGTCTCCCAAATTGTTCGTTAAAGTAATCTATCATGTCATTTCTTATAGCTACGTCACTTTCCCATTTATTAATTGCCTAAAAAGATGAAGGTTCACGAAAATATTAAAAATCATTAATTATACGTTTAAATACACTTTGTACCCTTGAAGTATAATTTATGTAACATTTATCGCTTTAAAGTATATTTTGTAACTTACCCCCTTCAAGTATTATTTGTTACACTTAGCCCTCAAATATAAACTATTTCGTAACTTAATTTAAAACATGGGTTAATGGCAAAGAGACCCATGACAAGGACACTTAATTAAAAAAGGAAAACTCTTTTATACATACCAAAATTACCCCCAATTCCTTGAAACCCAATTCAACTACAGTTTCATGATTTATACCCCAATTTAGCCCATTCACCAATTAACCATTTTTTACCCTACTTACAATTTTGACACCAATTTTGACCCACCACCACCGAAGAGTCCGGCGTTGACTTTTTTTTCCCCGGTAGGTCAACCTCCGTTGACCGTCGGGTCTCCGGCTTTAGTTTTTTTTTCTTAAAAAATAAATTTTAATTAATATTACTGTCTTGGCTGCTAAATTACTGTCTCCAACAGTTATTTAACTATTGGAGACAGTAATTTAACTGTTATTCGAATTTTTTTTTTCTCTAATAAATAAATATTTTAATTAATATTACTGTCTTGACTACTAAATTACTGTCTCCAACAATAATTTAACTGTTAATTGATTTTTATTTTTTTTTGAAATTTAGTTTTTTCTTAAAAAAAAATATTTTCATTAATATTACTGTCTTGGCTCCTAAATTACTGTATCCAATAGTAATTTAACTGTCTGAGACAGTAATATTACTGTCTAAGACAGTAATTTTACTTTACTAATTAATTTTATCGTCTTGGCCTGCAATTTTGCTGTCTTCGACCGTAATATTACTGTCTTCGACCGTAATATTACTGTCTTCGACCGTAATACTAATATTACTGTCTTCGACCGTAATACTAATATTACTGTCTCATGCATTAATATTATTGTTTGGGAGAGTAATATTAGTAATAATACTGTTCGAAAAAATAATATTCATAATATTACAG